GTCTTCAATTTTACAGCATGTCCTGAATGGAAAACGGTGGATATTGGTATATCTGGACGTGACAACAAAATCAATATGTTTGAATGGTAATCTAATGAGGCCATGTGACAGTCTTGATACCGAAAGTATAAAAGGACAGAACATGGTAAATGGGGATATTTGGAAACCAATGTTAATATATTCGGAGTGACCATTATGGGAGAGTAAAAATTAACCACAGGTGACTGGTAATAATTTCATAAGCTTTGATTTACACGTAACTAACATATGCCAAACTCCATTTTGGACATTTTCAAGTAACTAACATATTCAGAGTGACTACTAGGTGCACTAGTTTGATCCAAATTGAATGCTCTAGCAGAGAGAGAGAGAGAGACCTGAGCAGAAGAAATAACTTCTGGTGAAAAGCGGACATAACGTTGACTTCCATAAACTGCAGAACTAACATCAAACCCGCTGCCCACTTTTCCCTGTGCAATACAGTGAGCAGTTTGAGCTATCACATGCACCAAATCAAGATCTGCAGTGTACTTTTCATGTTGATGATCTTTAAGCGTGGATGAAAGATCAACAACTCCAAGGTAATGAAGCAACGCAGCAACAACAGCGGTTGTCATTGCCGCAGATGAACCCAATCCAGTTTTTGCAACTTCAGGCTTACAATTTTTTGCATTTGACCCTTCATCATTGAAAGTAATTGATGCAAAAGGAGGTAGTGCAGCCAATGCGTCTGGAGTCAAAGGCAGACCACGGGCTTCAATCTGAGAGGGCACAACTCAGCAAAATTAGGAACTTGGATTACAATTAATAAAACGAGAAACCTTGAAGTTTCAGCAGCAACTGGTTATTGGAAGGTGAATGCTGTAAAGTTTTTACTTTTTTCTTTAATTTTTAAATTACATTTTGACTCAAAAAAAATGTGGGCTTTTAGTAAGAAAATTAATATGACACTATCACCAATTAAAGTAAAGAGAGCAACAACGATTACTCAACTAAATTACAAACAAAACTATAGAAATTTAAAAGGGGTAACATACCTGATTCCGATAAGAATAAAAGTCTTTGCCACCTAAGATGGTGATATCAAAACCTGCAAGACAAACCCAGTTGAAATATTAGAACTTGCATTGATATCGAGCTTGTTTATCTATTTAAATGATAGGAAACATATGGAGAATGAAACATTACCATGCAATAGTAGTTTTTCTAATGAATCCTTGTTCTTCTTGTCAACTGTTGCACGGGCAGCAGCTACACAGTATTGCACTGCTTGTTCCACAAAAGGGTTCCTCGAGTCACTGGAATTGTGTTATATAAACTAAAATTAAGCATGTTTGAAGCTGAATATTTTTTCGATATAACCTCATGAGTGGTTAAATAAAGAAGAATGATGATCATATAAGTTGATAACTGGTAGCATTGTTCAAAATTGACCATCATTCAAGAAGCTTATATCGAAAATGAAAAAACTCACCCAGAAGAAACATAATCAAGTGATAAATTTTTTAGGGAGAGCTTGTAGATGCTTTCTCTGCCGAGCTGAGGAGACGTCAATTTCACATCCGTCCAACCCTGAGACACATAACAGATACGCATCTCAATCAATCCAGGGGAGAGAGAGAGAGAGAGAGAGAGAGAGAGAGAGAGAGAGAGAGAGAGAGAGACTCACCCAGGCCCAACTATCAGGCTTGAGAGGCTGGTAAAGTGGTTTGACAATGGCGAAGAAGCGGGCGTTGGTGCTGAGTACAAGGCCTGCATTGGGTCTCTCCAGAATTAGGTAACCTCCAGTCAACAACACCTTCCCTGGAGCTGAAGCAACTCTGTAATTCAACAACAATCAATTTCCAAATCAATCAATCAACTTCCTTTCTTTCTTTCTAATTCACAAAAATTCATACAAGAACAAATATTTGATTCAAAATCCAAAACTTACACGGCCTCCATTGAAATTGCAGCCTCAGATTCTCTCTCTCTAGCTCTCAAGTGTGAAGTAGGTTTCTTGTTCTCTCTCAGCTATGAGTTGTTGGGTTCTGAATTTTCAGTTGCGGCTGAATGAAATTAAAGAAAATAAATATTTGAAAATATTTGGGTAGAAATTCAAACAAAAGCCCAAACAGTTGTACTGATACTAAAATGCCTTGGTCTTCCATGGAAGAAATTGAAAATTTAAACCACCCATCAATGCAGAATATTACGAGGGAGAAAATCAAAATGTCAAATCAAATCGTTACCTGAGACCCGAGGAGAGAGATGCAGAGAGACGCAGGAGAGTGCGAGAAGATGGGAGGGTTTTTTTTTTATATCAGATCAAGTTGTAAAGATGCTGGCAGCGTAGGTCGGTGGTGTGCGCGAGGGGAGAGTGAGTTTTTTTTTTTTTTTTTTTTTTTTTTTTTTGCTCCTTCTTACTTTCAAAAACACTAGCATATAAACCCACCTCTGTGTAAAAATAATTTTTATTTTTATTTTAAAATGGGAAGAAAAAAAGGAGAAAAAGCGAATGTAGATTTAGAGAGAAGGTTTTTTTTTTATAATTTTTTTTAAATTAGAGGACGTTAGGATCACTCTTGGGTGGAGCTTTGAATAAAATTGTAAAATTTACTTTACTGCTCATGATTTTGTTTTATAGTAGAAGACAAAATTGTCTTTTTACTCTCTTTTAGTTGACAAGAGAATTTTTTTTTAATGTAGTTTAGATTATAGGCCGAATAAGACATAATTAGATCATTTTCAAAGGTAATACCAAATCCTATTGAAACGTCATGTAAAAAAGTTTGCAAATAATAATAAGTTATAATCGATATGTCATTTTTACGTGAGTTAACATATAATTGACGTAATTAAATTTTAAAAATACAAAAAATAGTCAAGTGAGCTTAGTTTGACTAGCATGAAGCAAGTGGAGATGTGAAAAATTGCGGTACCTTTTTTCGTTCTGTTTTGTTTTGCTTTGAGAGCCCTCCAAAGCTGACCAAGTTTCGATAGTTAGGTTAGGTATCAATATTGGTTTTCAACAAAAAATAGAAAAATTGAAGGGTATATTCGTTGCAGCAGAATTTAGAGAGGGAAATGCACCTTTTATTTATCATCTTCCCCCACTAGTAAATCGATGGTACAGATGTACTCAAGTCTAAACATTTACGAGATAGGTGGTGATTCTTATTTAGGATGTTGATGCATAATACTGGATCGATTTTGGACCAACTTAGATTCGGCATTGAATCGCACAAACGCATAAGAATAAAAAGATTTTTCATGGTTCATCCCAAGTTGAGGTTACGTTAACATTGGTGTATGTACGTATCCACAATGTAAATATGAGTTACATTGTACAAGAGGTTGTTGTCAAGACTTGAACAACCAAACAAAAGCATTAGGGGATGAAGGCACAAGGAAGAAGAGTGGCTTTGTAACCCATGGTAGTGACGCGTTACAAATACCATTGTACTATGCACTTGAATTCAAGATTCGGAATCTAGTCTGTGTGACAAGTTTTCTTTTCAAACATAGGCTAGGTTACAAGTCCAATTTAATTGGACATAACCCATCTCATCCGAGCCACCAAACGAGAGTGTTTTCACTGGAAATTAGCCCACATCTTGGTAAAATTGATTGCCCATAATGATTTACCCTCACGAATGGAGCAGATAGCATACCATACTTTTACGTTAAGCATGTCGTGTCAAATGTAGCATCTCCAGATTCCTCATATATCGTTGTACTTGTTTGCGCCTAAGTACATTTCTTAATCGACTTTCTTCATTAAATCAAGGGTTTTTATCACAAATGGTCCCTGAAATTGACCCTCACCATCAAGATGGTCTATGAACTTGAAAATCAATCAATGCAGTCTCTGAAAATAGGTGTCGCAAATCAATGTGATTTTTTTGTCACAATTCTGTTAAAAATTATGTTAAGTGTTAATGTGCCACATAAATGGGCCCCACAAGATTTACGAATTTTTATCACAAGATGGTCTCTGAAATTGACCCACATCATCCAGATGGTCTCTGAAATTGACCCACATCATCAAGATGGTCCCTGAAATTGAAAATTGATCAATATAGTTCTTGAAAATAGATGTCGCAAATTAATATAATCATTCTGCCACAATTTTGTAAAAAAATTTGTTATATGCTGATGTGAGTTTAATAATTAATTAAAAAAGTAGTCTAAGTACCTTTTTGCACAATGGAATTTTTTTTTCTTATAGTAGGGCCTACTACAAAGAGACCTAAATTCTCAAAGACACAAGACCTAACCAAGGTCTAAGAGGGGGTCTCGAAATATTTTTCAACCAACAATAGATGCACCTTGGTTATAACCTCATTATGTCAAGGTAGACTTCATTGTTCTTTGTATCACCAGACCACCAGGGAAGCGCTGAACAAACTCTCGAAGATTAAGGTTGTGAGGATGTTGATCACCTAAATGTTAAATGGTGATGTCCCAGAAATTGTTGCCAATCGGCCAAGGTTTCACCAAAGGTGATCTCAATCCAAGTTCAATTCGGTGAAAGGTGTCGAAGTGTGTAAAGATGGGTGTTGAGATTTTTCTTTGAGAGATAGAGAGCGAATGAGGTAGAGAAATGTGGAATGAGATCGGAGGTGATTGCAGGACTAGGTGATGTTAAGGGTCAATTTCAAGGACCATATGTGATAAAAACTCTTAAATCAATAACATAGTAGAAAATTGAAATTTGAGCCTGCATTTAAAAAAAGAAGGTTTGTGATCAATTCAGAGACTTCCTACCTATAATCGGAATTGTCCATTTTATAAAACACTTGACAAAAATTATTTCTGCTAAAAATTAATAAATACCAATGTCGTTTAATCAGTCTACTATTAGTAAATAGATAGATAAGTTATAATACATGTATCTATTTTTTCGTATCTTTTTATATAGTTTAATAAACAAACGATCTTAGATTTTCTAGAATTTGTACAATTATATCTATCCGTCGAATGATGATAATAATAAATGCACATCTTTCTTCTTGTTTTATTTCATTGGATCTCATCGATTCTAGTCAAACACAAAGTTGAGGGTTTTTCTTGCCAACCGAACCTTTAAAAATTTCAAGTACTCAAGGGTCCCAACTTGTGTTGCATCCGAAACAAACAGAATGGCGGTTTCACTCTCAAGAACTCCTCAACCCTGTGTTGGACAAATCTCAATCATGAACAAGTTTCACACCATCTCATCCAAAACCCTCCGCAGTTTCAATCCCCTTTTCAAGCCCTCCACTCAAACCCTCTTCCTCAGCTCCCAAAAACCCAAAACCAATCGCCAATATCCTCCTCGCAACACAATCCGATGCCTTTTCACCGGCATCGTCGAGGAAATGGGCCGAGTCAAGCAACTGGGCACGGCCCAAAACGGCGGTTTCGACATGAAAATCGGCGCCAAAACCGTTCTGGAGGGCGTTCACCTCGGGGATAGCATTGCCGTCAACGGAACGTGCCTGACCGTGACTGAATTCGATACCCAGTTGTCGGATTTCACAGTCGGGCTGTCCCCCGAGACGCTTAGGAAGACGTCTCTGATCGAGCTCGAATCGGGATCACTTGTGAATTTGGAGCGGGCGGTGCAGCCCACGAGCCGAATGGGCGGGCACTTTGTGCAGGGTCATGTGGATGGCACAGGGGAGATAGTGTCCGTGGAGCCCGAGGGCGATTCGCTGTGGATCAAGGTAAAGGCATCGAAGGAGGTGTTGAAGTATGTGGTGCCGAAAGGGTTTATAGCAGTAGATGGAACTAGTTTGACGGTGGTGGATGTGTTTGATAAAGAAGAGTGCTTTAATTTCATGTTGGTTGCTTACACTCAGCAGAAGGTGGTGATTCCGTTGAAGAAGGTCGGGTCGAAGGTTAATTTGGAGGTTGACATACTCGGGAAGTATGTCGAAAGACTTCTCAGTAGTGGGTTTGTTGAGTCAATCAAATCTTCATGACTCATGAGGTACTACTTAGTTATAGTTTGTTTACTGCAATCCTGATTTGGTTTCGTGTATTATTACATTTTGTAATGCATACTTGTTCTTGTTTTCTTTCTCTTTCAATAAAAATTGAAAAGGTTATTTGCGTAAGAGATTCAGATTTTAAGTGGTTCGGATTGATTTTTAGTGGGAAAGAATATTGCAGTTGTAAGTTACGAAATGTGTAATATGTAGGATGATCTTTAGCGTAAACATTCCTACATTTATCGCAACAGGCGAACAAGATTACCCTTGAGGTCAATGAAGATAATTCAAGTGTTGGAACTGGTGTTTGAAAACAACATACTGGATGGTGCATCTTTAACAGATCAGAAGCCACTTGATACAGTTTTGAAATGTGGAGTTCACTATGTTGAAATTTTTCTTGCTGAAGCTCTGATGGCAATTTGTTCTTTCTTTCTGCCAATTTGGTCAATGGTTTCATGTGCGACATCTACAACAATTATATGAGCTTGGGAGAAAGAAAAAAAGAATGCAGCAACTAATTAGCTAATAATAAAATCAATCAATTAGCTTCTTGTGCTTAACTCCTTTAGTGGTATCAAGTGTTTTACTGTTTCTGCTCATTTTCTTTTCAAGGTCATCGCCTGTGTGGGTTGTACACGCTTGTGATTGGGATAGTTACTGAACCAACTGGTGGCTGTAGGAATGCTGTTCGGAATTTTGGCCATTTTTAGCTTCTGTTTTTTTTTTATTGGAAGCGTTTTTAGGTAGTGTTGCACTTTGAATAGCTGTTATATCTCGATTTTAAAACTTTGTTGTATCATTGTTAGAGATGTATTCTATTGATTACTCTATATACTAATTGGATTATGATAGTTTTATTAAGTAATAAAAGTTTTGTTGTATCATTTTTAGGGCTTTATTGTACACAGACACATGCATGCCTTCACACGCACATAGATTTTCATTCCTTCGTGTTTGCAGCACCAAGGGCAAAACTGTAAGCCTCTGATGCTCCTCAAGTGTCTTTGGGCATCAAATTGCACAGTAGAAAAAACATGCTGCAGTAGTCTGATGATGATCTCTCTCGTACTCTGTCCAGTAGGGCATCTGATACAAATTATGTTAGTCTTGTAGCTCCCCGTTGTTGTATAGCAGGCTGGTTTGGAATTTTTCTGTCTCAAGCTTTTACTCAAAACCAGTTTTTGATATATCATATACCCTCAAAACTCTCATCTTCCTTTTTTAGAAACGCAAGTATATTATTCTCTTAGTCTCTCTTTACAGTGATTAGCGAGAGAAATTATTACGTGGTGTTCTGGACTACAGAAAGTAGGTGGTTCCACCCAATTAAAATATCACATGTGTTTGTTTGAAGCTCAGTGGGAGAAGGTCGCCTCTCTGTTGAAGGTAAAGGGTTGAGGTAAGTTTCTTTTCGCCCTCGTGTGTTGATTTCTTCTACCAGTAGTTCTATTCTCCTTCCTCCCTGAGTACTGAGGTCTGTATCTCGTTCTGCTTTTCCTGCAAATTGAGCACCCGACTCTTGTTCGTAGTGCTTCATGACCAATTTTAGGCCCTTTTTTTTTCAAACGAAAAACTTTCTGCTCGTAACATCCTCCAATTCTCTCCTGTCTTGGTCATAATTTTAGGAACAGCAATGGTATTTGTTCCCAGGGGAGTGACTGGCTCTTTATTGTGTTGTAATGGGCCGACCTGCTGTGGAAATTTTTGCAAAAACTACATTTGTCAACAAAGTCTTATCGGACTTGATTTCGAGAGAGTCTGAATAGCAGATCTCGATATGAAATAGCTCGAACCAAGAATCACCATTGTTAGTGATGGCCTGATGGGGAACTGTCGTCATCGCTAACTTTTCTCATGGTAGAGAGCAGACGCAGCTTGCTCAACATCAAGTTGCCAAGTTGGAGGTGGAGGGGACTCAGTTTTCATGGGGATATCATTCTACTTCACTTTAGTCCACTTGCACAATTTGCCAAACCAACCACTCCATTTCTCCCCATCTCAGCCGAAAGTGAGAACCGGTTCTCCTCTTTGTGAGCGTGGACGGATGAGTAATGTGCGTGCCATATGAACATTTGGTACAGTTGTACAGTATTTGGTTGACTTGGGCAAATGAGTTTGACTCCAAATTTAGTGGATATGGTGATCTGATCTCTCTAGTGTCCATGTCGGCAAGACTTTAATTTCTTTTTGTTATCCGTCCACCGACGACTTTAAATTTGATTATCTGCTCCATATTTAAATAAAAATAACAAATACATAATTTGTCAAACTTTTTGTTGTAAATTTTTTTATCAACATTCTTTCTTTTCCCTTCAAAAAATGAACCATCTGGTGATTTCGTCAAGATAATCCACCATTTTGGGAGCCAAAAAGACTCAGAGAGACATTTCAGCCTTATTTTAGCCAACATCGTGTGATTCACAAGTAAAAAATTTATGTGCGGCCATAACACCTTACAATCTACTCATGTTACAACACATTTTATATACCTTAAACAACATTAAACTCAACTATACGTGCAACGGGGGTTCTTATTATTATTATTATTATTTTTTGGGTGTGCAAGAAACTTTGATACGGTTGCTTAACTACGTAGCTTTCACACAAAATGAAGATTGATGTAGTGGTGAGTGACACAAATTACAAAGCATATCATACTTTTGTGATAGGTACCAAAACGAGGTTGGGGTCAGCCGTTTCACGACAATGACAATGAAGTGTGGTAATAAAAGCGATTGTTGGGGCTAAATTAGTAATTGGAGCCGCATCTTCCAAATTGTCAACCCACTCCGCCACCTCCACACATCCCATTCCAAACCCAAAGATAGAGGCCTATAATTTACTCGTGAAAAAAGTGGCGCTTGCGTGGCACAATCTGGGCCGTTCACGTGGCCTGGCACAATTGAGTGCGACTAGAAAAGATCGGCCTATGAGGGCTAACTTCGTCTCGAGAACATCAACATCGACGTGCCGCTAAAATACCCAAAGATTGAATGACGCATTTACCAACTTGCCCCTCCATTATTCTTGCCTTTCTGGAACGACTTTCCCCACTCTTACAAGACTAACCCTATCCTATCTTTTCTTTTGGGGTTTCCTTCATTCTTTTTCCCCTTTAAAGTTGATAAAATAATAGAAAACAACACACACAATATTACATCCTTGATTAACTCTTGTTTTTGTCTCAAATATCGGATTATATTTGGTATTTATAAATGGATAAGAATAAAAATAAAAACATATTTATCATAATTAGTCGTAAGACCTTATAGTTAACACATAAAATTAAACATTTAAGTCAATTAGGAGATAATCCTAATCCGTTCCCACCAGAAGGACACCTAACTTATTTACATGTGCATATTCACTTTTGTCAACTCTCGACAGGTAAAAGGTCATGATCTTAATCTATTAAGCTTGATTTTTCTCCATTAACTAAATTTGATTTGAACAATTACACCTTACATTTGAGACTAACACGTTAAAAAGTCTTGAGTTGTGGAAACATTTACATCCAAAACTGATGATATTCCAACGATAAGAATCTCCCTAACGAGTGGAAATATTTACATTTAAAACTGACGATATTCCAACGATAAGAACATCCCTAACGAGTGGTCAGGTGCAGGTGCAAGTTGGGGTACAGTTGAAGTTGAAGATGTACACAACCCAAGTGGTGCAGGTGGAGCCCCTTTTTGCTTTCTTCCTCGGACCTCAGCGCCATGACATTACACATCGAAAATGATACCCACGGGAGGGTATTTTAGACAATTGCGAACATCTGAGAAAGAAAAGTGAAGAGGGCAAAATAGGAATTCCAGGCCCAAGTTGGGGTGTAGTTGCCGCGTAAAGGTTCGAAGTTAACAACGACCAGCAGCGGCAGTTGTATATATGTGCCTGCCGTCAAAGCCCTTCCAACTGCCCACTCAACTTTCTCTCATTCATTTTCCCACCATACAAACAGTCAGTCTCCCAACTTCCAGGCTCTCCATATCCAATCAATCTTCCAACTAGCTAGCTACCTAATACTCGTCTCTTCCAGTCATGAACAAGCCAGGCTTTTTAGCGGCCTCTGTCGCCGCCGCTTCTGCCACTGCTCTCTCCGTCTCCGCCACTCCTTCTTCTTCTTCTTCAAGCTTTGTGTCTGATTCAACCATGCGATTTTCTCACCAGGTAATTAAATAATCTTAATTTGAATTCATGGGTTCTTTTTGTCTTTTCGTTTTCCATGCTTTGTAGTTAGTATTCAGCTTTAGATGCTCTGCTTCTATTTGCCCTGTTCTGTTTGGCTGCTGAGAAAAAAAAAATGGAAAAGGACTGAAATCTGGGATTTTGACCCTTCAACTCATATTTTATCACTTACTAGTTAACCTTAACCAAACAAGTACTAGAGAAACAAAATATACGCTGGTTGTTAATTTCTAATTTTATTCTTGAATTTCTGCTATATTGTGTCTACTAGAAATGTTAGGACTCTCAAAGAAATTCTTCATATACATTAACGTTAAACTGTAAGATTGCAGAAAGTTCATGAACAACTACACTTTTCAAAGTTCCTTTAGCATTTCTCGTGTCTACAGCTTGATATTCTTACTTCAATAAAAATATTTGGACACATTTATCGACACGGTTTCTAATAGGGAGGACTCTATCATTGTTTGTCGATTCCACTTGTCTTAGGAACTGTTTGTTAATTTTGTGTGTTTAAATAATATTATTTGACGTGTTTATATAAAATTGTAATTAAGCAGGGAGAATTCTATTGATTTTGTAGGAGACTGGGTGTAAGAGAAATCAAGCAAAATCATCGGCTTCGACCGAGAAATTTGCGCCCAAGTTCGATGGGTTGAGATTTATTGAAACACTGGTTACTGCTCATAGATAAGATTAGGCGGCCTCTATTTTCTACCTGTTGTAATCTAAATATTTTTGTTTCCTTTGATGATTTGATCCATCTTCCATCTCGAGGAAACAACTTCAGGATTGGATTTCGAATCTTTTGGTAATGAGATGAAGTTAGTACTAAAGGCTACTTACATGGTACATGAAAAATATTGCGTTGCATGCCAATAATACGTTAGATGAAAATAAATTTATATTGTATTATTGACATAAAACGTTAAGATGACAATAAGTCTATGCCAAGTAAATCCTCTTAGAATTAAAGGAATTGTAACTGTACATACTAGGGCTGCCCTTATGTATTTACGTGGAAATTAATATAATACTTTTTACTTTGTTTTTCTAGTCCTAGTCAATAATTCCAAAGTCATTTTTCCACTTGATTTTTTAATACAAAGATATCTTTACACTAAAAGTGAGAGGAATAAAATTATTACCGAATTCGCTATTTACATAATTAAATTTAAAATCTCTCACTTAAAAAAAAAAAATTTAACTTGTAGTACCAAGTGTCATTGATTAACTAATGATTTGATGTCAAAGGATATGTGGTATAGCTATTTTGATTTTTAATGAAATGATGTGGCAGAAGATAGTGTATGTATTTATTGGTTGTATTCTTTCCCATTCTATTTGGATTTAGACACAAACTGTGGGCAAAACATTATTTATATTTTTAGAGTAAACTGTCGATTTGCCCTCTAAACTTTCACCTAGCTTTCGATTTCCCCCTTGAACTCTTCGATTGGAAAATTAAGGACTCAAACTAATTTTTTTAGCCAATTTGCCTCCTACCGTTAATTTTTCAAACATTCCATCCATATTTCTGTTAAGTGAGACCATGTGCACAACATGTGAGGGTAGTTTAGTCATTTCACTCTTAAAAATGATTAAAAAACTGAAAATAAATTTAAAAAAAAGCTTAAAATAATATAATTAAATTTAAATTCGTTGTTTACATAATTAAATTTAAAATCTATAACTTAAAACAACAACAACAAAGCTTTTTCCCACTGAGTGGGATCGGCTATATGAATCCTAGAACACCATTGCGCTCGGTTCTGTGTCATGTCCTCCGTTAGATCCAGGTACTCTAAGTCTTTTCTTAGAGTCTTTTCCAAAGTTTTCTTAGGTCTTCCCATACCCCTTCGGCACTAAACCTCTGTCCTGTAGTCGTATCTTTTAACCGGAGCGTCAGTAAGCCTTCTTTGCACATGTCCAAATCACCGTAACCGATTTTCTTTCATATTTCCTTCAATTTTGGCTACTCCTACTTTACCTCGAATATCCTCATTCCTAATCTCTCACTTGAAAAAAAAAAATTTAAAAAAAAAACTTTTTAACTTGTAGTACTAAGTGTCACTAATTAACTAATGATTTGATGTCAAAGGATATGTGGTATAGCTATTTTGATTTTTAATGAAATGATGTGGCAGAAGATAGTGTATGTATTTATTGGTTGTATTCATTCCCATTCTATTTGGATTAAGACGCAAACTGTGGGCAAAACATTATCTATATTTTTATCCCCATTGAACATGACTCATATGTCACCATTTCCAGTGCCAGAAAGTGCGTCGACCACCATCATTGTGCCCGAAGTATTTATCCATTCGTCGGAAAATTTCAAGTCATTGTTCAACAGCGACGTAAAAAAAATATTATGCAACTTTTTCATCTTCAATTTTGTATTGTTGTGTGAGTGATCATATGTTCTTTTCGGTACCGTTTGGTACGTGGAACGGGACGGAACGGAGTGGAACAAGGCATTTCGTCCCACGTTTGGTGTGCTTAAAACAGATGGAACACGCTGTTCCACGGGACGAGTTTTAGGTGAATTTTCGTTCCGCCTTATCATCTAGAACGACTTGTTCCACATCCGTAGAACACAAAATTATAACCTCTCTGTCTCTTTCTTCTTCCTCCTTGTTTCCATCCAAGGGCATATTTGCTCCCTCTTCGTTCCACCTCGTCCTGTCCCGTCCCATTCCGTTTCGTCTCGTCCATCTGCATACCAAACGATACCTTACATATATACACAGTAAAATTAGAGAACTTTTGAGGAATTTGATCATACATGTTTATAGCGTGAGTTTACAATTACTTAATATGTTTTTTTATTAAGTTCACTGTTGTACAGTGACACTAAAACAGAAAAATTTGACCGGCTAGTTGTCGGAAAATTTCGTCAACCGGTCTAAAAGAAAAGTTGGTCGGTCAAAAAACGTGGTAGGATTAATTAGTGT